GAGAAGATGTTCGACGATAAGCTGGTACCTTGAACCCACTCGGCCAGCACCTCTCTCTGAATTATATTTCAGAACCAGCGTCACGTAAGTTATTTCCCTCGCGTTGAATAGTTTTTTTTAAAGAAATATTCAAAAGTGATGCATACATTCGAGTCGTGGTTCTACTATATACAACTCATTAGACACACGGTTTATATTCATTTAAAGAGATTTCCGTATTTCTACAGATTGCTAAAAATTCTTGCAGAATTACCCGTTAGATAAATCGGGCAATGCGGTTATCTGTAGAATTTTGTTTTAAACGTCGCTTTCATGAAGCATTTGACCTCGTTTCACGATAACGCAGCTCGAAATTCTGTATTCACGTGTACACGTACATCTATAGATCGTTCCTTTTTGTCCGTGGAAATTTTCTCTAAAATAAAAGTCCTCTAATGTACCGGCGAGGAGTACCCATTGGAGTCTCGATAATCTCTACGACGTCAAAGGGAGAGATCGTTGCTTGCCGCAAGTAGTAATAGATAATGTACCCTCGGAAACCGTTTTCATATTAATTAAAGATCCGGCCCGGTAATTCGTTGGAAAATGTTCGTAGCACTCAGAGTCTCGACCGCGGCGTTTCACGCGAATCCCTCAGGTGTACTCGCGATACGCGACCCAGAAAATCCTGTATACACCGTACAGTTTCGTTGAAACGATATCCAACAAATCTAAATGTTACAACAAACGGGGATCACAACTGAAAGCCCATTACGAGTATCTTCTGTCTGTCTGTGGAGAATTTCAAATGAAAACGCCCAGTTTCACGACTACAGTAACAATAAATTGTTAGTACGAAAGTCGATTCTAACTTCGACGTCTTACTTTGTTAATTATCTCGCTACGAAATTGAACTCGTGGATTTTTACGTCAGTATCGAGGCGGTATTGATTCGTTCGAACACTTTCGCTCGGGGGCTTCGTTTCGTAGCGGAAGGATTTTTCATCAAGGAAATGGACCGACTTTTCTAAGCGACGGTCAGCCGCTAATCAAAGGCCGGTTTGAACCGACCGCGTTCAGGACCATGGTAAAAGGAAATGAGTAATTAATTAGGCTGTTTCGCCTGACCTCGTGCCTGACATTTTGAACCGCGGTCTTTAGGCCAAATCGACCGGCAACCTTGGTTCTCCACTCTTTTTTTTTTTAAGTAAAGGAGAAAGCATGAAAACAGTATGCAAGATTTATTAAGGGTGTGAGTTACAGGCTTTCTGGGGCAGGACTTTTTGTTGAAGAGAGAAAATTTGAGAAATTATGTATAACCAGCACAGAGTGCTCTGCACTTATGGCATGGAAATGTACAGAAACATATGAAAAACGGTTTTTCATATGTTTCTATATGTAAATGTCTCTATCCATACCAGTGCAGTTATTATAAGTACGAGTTTCAGTTCAAATACGTTCTCTGTAGAGAATAGAAACATTTAATTTAATTTTTCTCCAAGATTAGTTAAAGCTTCATTTTTCTTATCCATTTATTTTAGTGATACACAAATAAAAGTGATTTGTAATTTAATTTCCAGACTCTATTTTTAAATAACTAACACTAACACTTTTATACATATACAGTTGATTCGGTTTAAAACAGATTACTTAATATAATTTGCAAGTCTTATTTGTGAAATTAGAACCAAGTCGAATTATTTGAGTCTCTTTTTATGATGATTATTAGATAATTGTTGAAGACTGAAGATCTGTGCAGTGATAGAGTTCGCTTCACATATATGACTCACAGTTTTGATATTCAAGGAGAAGTCATATAGACACGTACCTCCCAAGGAATTCGCTCGGTTCATTATAACTTAACGTGAAATGAAAGATGAGACGAAACGTATTCTGTATAAAGATGTAAAGAGCTAAGCTCTCTGAACACGTGTTAATTATGGAAGGAAAACTTTTATTCCCTCGATTGCGTTGATACGAAAAGACGGATGGAAAGAAACGACTGATAAATGATTTGCTAGAGTTAACAATTTATTATACACAATAGCATGATAAGTATCTAAAAAGATACAATTCTCGTATAATTTTGTATAATGTACATCGAAATACTTGAGCAATCCCGTATGGTACAATGATGAACGATGGTGAAACATTTCGACTCGAACTTTCCGCTACGTAATTCCAGTTTGAAAAATTAAACGACCGCTCCTGGCGTAATCCTCCCACCGCGAAATTCATTTTACTCGAATGAAATTGAAACACCAGTAAATCTTAGTTTACCGAAGGCAGATAGAAATTATGGGAAACATTGTGTTTTCCACTTTTAATTAACATTAGAATGCGTATAGAATTCATTTCCTAATAAATCAATGAAACCTAGAGGTAAAAAAACTTTTACTCTATTTCCACTGAACGTTCCCAGTTTTCAATTATAACTGCGGAACAACTTGTATTGTTGTTTCAAACTGGAATTGAGAACGCGGAACCTCGCTAACCGGTTGAACATCGCATTTTACACAAACAATGAACAGGTTGTATATAAAGTAATGGTCGATACATTCAGTTGATTTCGTATCTAAAAGCGTGCAACATGCATTAAACTTTCATCTGTAACATCCGAGAGGAAACTCGAGCAAGGCATTTAGTTAAAAGCGAAGCTCGTCGCTAAACTAATTCCTGACTATTGTTTATTTAATCATTTATTTCTCGAACATCGTAAATTACTTGCGTTAACAGAATTGCAGTTTGCAGTTTGCACAAAATTATACAAGAATTAAACATATTAAAAGAGGAATAAAAAAAATAAGTAAAATTATATTTTTAAGAAATCATAGAAAATGATTGCTGCGCTTGTAATTAAATGCTCCTTGCACGATTAGGGCATCTCTTCCCTTTGCACGATTACAATTTCGAGTTAATTCTAAACAGGTGGTGAACGTTTCTCTGGGTTGTTATACGAAACACGTCACGAGTAAAAAGATGAAATAGACGTTTGAAAAACGTGGAAACGTGATATGTAATATTTAATACTAATTGACCAAAGTCACTTTTGGCACGTTTCAGAATGTGTTCCAGACCATTTTTCTCTTTCACTTACTTTCTAACGTCTATTCTAAGGGAACAGAAAATACTTTTAACGAGCATTCGACTACCGATCCTTCAATCAAAGTCACGTACGTGCGAGCAATAAAAGATTTCACCATTTCAAACTTTTACAATCGAATTTAAAAATATCATTTTTTCTTCTTTCTCCCAAAACGACTGCAGGTCTTTGACCAACGAAACGGTGTCTAATACGTTTACCTTTAAAAAATCTCCATCTCTTTTTTTCATTACCGCTCGTAGCAGTAATAAAAAAATACCACGTGACTGTGACTGATGCCACTACATAGACGCAAGCACGTGTAGTACTCGTATAGTTCCGATATAGACTAGACCTAATTGCTTAGATAAAGGCTAGAGGTCAATCTGGAGATTGATTTATATCTTCAGTTAATTCCTCTGTCTCCGTAGAGCAATCGATTAACTGATGTATAAAACAAACTCCGATAAACGTGCGAGTCACTGAGTATCATAAATATTCCCTCTTTCTGAACCATTAGCACATATTGACTTAGAGGAGTATCTCATCGAAGAGAGCGATTATTTAACGTGTAATCAACTATGCGTTAAGTTTCAAAGGAATCGCATTTTCTTTTACATAAGACAGCATGAAACTCAGTTACTCCAAGAAAATGTCCTGCTACTTTCACAGATCTTTGCTTCTCACTTGGTTTGTCATAACACGAAACGGGGAGAGGATGAAAAGTATTTTGTTTTCGGGACTGAAGTGCAGATCAACGCGTGAATAATTAATCATAGATAAATGCTAAAACATTTTCTTGAAATGCACGTAATTGACCAATCAAGATCTGATACTGCCTTCTCTCCTTAAGGATGTATTGGTGATATAGTCAATCCCAAAACTT